TCTCTGGATCCAAAGTCCCCAGCTGCTTCATCACTCCACATCATCATCTCTGCCTCTATCTTGGGCCTCGCTGCTTCTCTGGGTAGGGTCCCGCTCTCGGCTCTTCTCCGTTGATGGTCCTAGAGACAGGGACCATATTTTGATAAATAGTATTTTAAATGCAAGAAAGAAGAGGGCTAAATGCTCTTAGGAACTCAAATTTTAAAGCAGTTTGGACTTTTCCCATCCTGCCTTTCCCGGATTACAGGTCTCTGCTTTGACAGCCTTGTCTGGACTTCCTGCATCTGCTTAAGATCTTCACATTTGCAGTGTTGGACAGAAACACTGTATAGCACGATGGCCCTTGAGTAACCCCAGAGACCTTAGCCTTGGGCCATTCTTACTCAAGACGTTGTAAAAGGGAAACCTTACCTGCTCCTTTTTGAGATGCTGGTAGGTCTAGTTTAGTGCTGCCATGTAGGAGGTACACAGGTAGGCCTTGCTGATCAGCGTTGCAGCCTCGGGAATGGTTGCCAGCCTTTATCAACCAGTTCCAAGATTCTCTTGGCCAAAGCCTGCAGTTGAGTAAAAGTCAGCCTTTCATACAGGGGCTGTGGAGTCGCCCAGAGTACCCTTCCTGTGTTGGGCCTTGGTCTTGTCCTGCTCACTTCATGATTAGAGCCACCGCTGCCTAATGCCATGAAATGTGTAGGTTTTAGGGGTGGAGGGGGCCGCTGCAGCAGTTTCTCTCCTGGGTATCCCTCGATGGAGGTGCACACACTCAGGTGTCCTTGTTAGGTTCCTGACTCTGGTGTTCACCTGAATTGGACTGGTGAGAAGTCCTGGAGGACTTGGAACCAAGAGTTTTTTTCCTTGCTGCTGCTGCCAAATTCCCAGTTCTTTCAAGTTAAAAAATCTAAAGACCTTGTTGATTTCTGCATTTCCTTTCAGATTAACATTGCTTTACTCAACCACCCTTTTCCTGGCCAGAGAGGCCTTCCGCAGAGCATGTCTGAGTGGGGGCACCCAGCGAGACTGGAGCCAGACCCTCAACCTCCTGTGGCTCACGTGAGTTGTGCTTTGGCAGGAGAGAATTTCACGAAGGCAAGTGTCAGCTAAACAGGCCTGCCTGCCTCAAGCCGAATTGATTTCCAGACTGTTTTCCAGCGGATTTCTGGGAGTTGGGCTTCTGACAGGAAGTAGAGCATGTCTGTGTTGAAGGAGCTCCTTGGCTCATTTCTCTCTATATGGCCAGGAGCAGAGAGGAAGCTCTGGGGTAGGGCCTTCTGGACTGGGTTTCTAGCTCTGTTGTACCTTTTTTGGAAGTGGTTTCTGCCATTCTTGATCCCAGCTCTGAGTCCCATTTGGCCAATGCCACACATATATTTTTTAATTCTTAAACTTTTTCTCCTATAGTGTCTTTTGAGCTTTAACAACTACTTCATATTTTCTGAAAGTCAAGAGTTTTCATTATATCTTCCTTCCCTTTTGTCAGGTTGATTTCAGTTATTTAAAAATTTTCCCTGAGACCAAGTACATTCACAGAAAAAACATAATGGCTCTTCTGCAATTAAATCCCTGCAGGGAGGACTGGCAGCTGAGGTTGCTTCCCAGTGTTGCCTTGCATAAGCCCTTGCTGTCTCATGGAAATGACTGTTACAAGGGCTGGTGGGTGTTCATTTATTAGAGAAATGCCTGTCACCACCCAGTCCTACTTCACTGTTTCTTCTTGCACAGGCAAGACTCTGTACACTGGACTGGTGGTTATTTGGGTACAAGAACCAGATGTATAGTGTCTGTCATTTATTCTAAGTAGATACACCAGACAGTTTCCCTGGGAGTTTTGCTTATCAAGTCAGTGCAACACTGGATAGTATAGGCCTTTTGGTTGGACAGATAGGGACTGAGTCCTGTTTCTATTATCTAGTGCCCATCAACCTGTGTTTCTTCATCTTTCAAATGGGGACAAGGACAGAGGATCATTGTGAGTTGTCAGTGAGCTAAAGAGAGTGAATCCCAGTGCCTGGCACAAAGTAAGTGCCTTAATAAGTGGTAGCTATTTTTATTAAGTCTGTATTTCTTTTCTGTTCACTGTCATTGTTCGGATGTGTATGTATATTTACTTTTAAATTTAACAGATTAAAAAACTATTTTTCCCTTTCTTTCAGAGTCCCTCTGGGTGTATTTTGGTCTTTGTTCTTGGGCTGGGTCTGGTTACAGTTGCTTGAAGTGCCTGATCCGAATGTCGTCCCCCACTATGGAACTGGAGTGGTGCTGTTTGGGCTCGCGGCAGTGGTGGAACTTCTGGGAGAGCCCTTCTGGGTCGTGGCACAAGCACATATGTTTGTCAAGCTCAAGGTTTGTGTGACTTTTGCTGTGAATGGGAACATGAGAAATAAGGGAATTTTTGTTTTATTTTCAGTGTTTAATGTAAGAGAATGATTTCTTTAGATTTACATCTAAATTATTTGGAAAAGGTAGCATGATCAGTTAAGTTCATTCACTAAAATTTGTAAGATGAACTGGGCTGACGTTATTTCTGCTATGGTGCTGTAGAATAAGCTCTGGACTGTTAACCATAGGGGCAGCGGTTGAAAACCAGCAGCCGCTCCACAGAAGAATGATGAGGCTGTTTGCTCCCACAAAGATTTACAGCCTCGGAAACCCTATACAGGGTTGCTATGAGTTGGAATTAACTCTATGGCAGTGGGTTTGATTAGACTATTGGTGAAAAACAGACTTACTAATTAGTAAGTGGAGTCTTAGTGTGGCACTGTAAGATAAGCACTGGACTGCTAACCACAAGGTCGGTGGTTCAAACCTATCAGCCGCTCCTCAGAAACCCTATACAGAGTTACTATGATTTGGAACTGACTTAAAGGCACCTAACAACAACAACAACAAATTTTTAAGTATTTAGTTTAAATAAGAATTTAGGAAAACTATAAATGCTCTTCAGATTTTCCTAGTGATCCTGTTTAGTTGTATGTTAACTCTTCACTTTAAATATATTATTTGATGTCTATGAAAGAATAAAAGTGTGGTTGGCTCCATACATAAGCACTAGACTGCAAACTACAAGGTCTGAGGTTCAAACCCACCAGATGCTCTGCAGGAGAAAGATGAGGCTTTCTGCTCTTGCAAAGATTTTGAAAAGCCTCTGAAACCCTATACAGGGTCACTATGAGTCGGAGCTGACTCGATGGCACTTCACAACAACAACAAAAGAATATATTTTAGTTCCTAGTGCTGTTATATAGGAGCCCTGGTGGCACTGTAGGTTAGACTGATAATCACAAGGTTGGTGGTTCAAACCCACCAGCCTCTCTGTGGGAGAAAGATGAGGCTGTTGCCTCTTGTAAAGATTTGCAGTTGTGGAAATCCAGTATTGGGTTCCTGTGAATCAGAATCGACTCAATTGCAGTGTGTTTGGTTTTGGTTTTGGAGTGCTACTATAACAGAAATACAACGAGTGTATAAAGAAATTTCTCAAAGATGTTGTTGTATGCTGTTGAGTTGATTCTGACTCCTAGTGACCCTGTAGGACATAGTAGAACTGTCCTATAGGATTTCCTAGGCAAACATCTTTACAGGAGCAGACCTCTCTGGTTCTTTTGTCTTTCAGAGCATGTGGTAGATTCTAACAGCAACCTAAAAGTCGAGTGTTTAACCTTTGTGCCACCAGAGATCCTTTTCTCACAGTTAGAAGAAACTCTCCATTGGCTCTGGGGGAAGGTTCTTCTCTCTTTTCATCTTCTATTCCTTGGTGATCTCCATGTGGCATCAGCCTTCCTTAGTTTGTTCTTGCTTGCTTCTGTGCCTAAGCTGTTCCTTTTATGTCTCAAAAGCGATTATCTTAGATAGACATGCAATGCAAGGTGGACAGGTGTGGAAAGGAGAAAACCTATACATACACATATATATACGTTTAACAAAGGTTATTTCTGCATGTATTTACATATGCTACAGATATTTTTGGAGTCTGGTGTGGCACTGTAAAATAAACTCTGGACCTTAAGGTCAGTTTGAACCACAAGCCCAACAGCCATTCCATAGAAACACTATTCAGGATTGCTATGAGTCGGAAATGACTCAACAGCACTTAACAAAACCACAAAACCAAACATTAATGAAGATAGTAGAGCATTGCTGTTGTTCTTCTTGTTGTGAAGTGCGCTCGAGTAAGTTCCAACCCATAGCGAACCTGTATAGGGTTTCCAAGGAGCGACTGGTGAGCTTGAACCACTGATCTGATGATTCAAAGTGACTTTGCAGTCTGGTACATTAACCCACAGCGCCACACCAGGACTCCATAGTAGAGCATACAGGGGTCAAATTTATGAAATCTTTTTAGCCTTAAGAAAACATTGAGGGAACGAGTCACTGGACCTGGGTGCTCAAGGCCATAGTCTCAGGGGACATCAAGGTCAATTGGCACAACTAGCCCACAAAGACAATGTTCTACATCCTGCTTTGTGTGAGTAGGACAGACTGCCATCTGTTCATGGCAAAGAAGAGTGAAGAAAAGAAGAGACGCATTTAAACAGTTACTCAAAAGGACTGTGGACTGTGAGCATGCCAGCCTCCACAAGCCTGAGATTAGAACTAGACTGTGCCTGGCTACCACTACTGACTGCATTGTTATGTGTTGTTGAGTCGGTTCCTACTCATAGCAAACCTATATAGGGTTTCCGAGGAGTGGCTAGTGAGGTTTGAATTACTGATCTTGCGTTCAGACTGACCTTGCAGTCCAGTGCATTATCGTGCAGTGTCACACCAGGACTCCAAGAGATTATGTGTATTGTTGTTTTTAAGTGCCATGGAGTCGGTTCCAACTCATTGCAACCCTGTATATAGGGTTTCCAAGGATTGACTTGAACAGGTGATCTTTTGTTTCATACCAACCTTGCCATCTAGCATATTAACCCTCAGCACAACACCGGAACTCCATTATTTGTATTGTTGCTGTTGTTAAGTGCCATCGTGTCAGTACCAATTCATAACAACCCTGTATAGAGTTTCCAAGAAGCATCTGGTGAGCTTGAACTGATGCCCTTGCGGTTCAAACTGACCTTATTGTCCAGTACATTATCCTGCAGTGCCACAAGAGTTTAGGATTTACAATAGAATTTTTCAGGAACACAATTCAGTCCATAACTATATAAATAATGTGTATAAGTCTTAATACTCACATATAGATTCATGAACCAACTACCCAGCCTGGTGTGGTGCTGTAGGATCAGTACTGGACTGCAATCCACAAGGTCAGCAGTTCATACTCACCAGTTGCTCCTCAGAAACCCTATACAGACATGGTCACTGTCAGTTGGAACCCCCTCAGCGGCACTTAACAATGACACCTAGCCCAAGAAGAGAACATTTCCAATAAATCATGTCCACCCCATGTATCCCACTCCTATGCCCAAGGTAGCCACTATACTGAATTTCTGTTTAAAACTTGATTTTCATTTAGCTGCATTTTCATTTTTTTAACCATGTTGGTAAGGTGAACCCTTCCTCGTGTCTTTGTAGGTGACTGCTGAGAGCCTGTCAGTGATCTTCAAGAGTGTCCTCATAGCCTCTCTCGTGCTGTACTTGCCTCACTGGGGACTGTACATCTTCTCTTTGGCCCAGGTGAGAGGAGTGGCTTTCCCTCTTTGTAGAAGGTCTGTGTGTCTCCAGTGGGTTCATGCTTTTTGTTCTCATGGTTTTCAGTCACAGTTTCTATGCACATGGAAAAGGCTGGAAGCACTAGAAGGTGGTCTGGGAATGCTTCTCTAGCTGCCATTCTATCCTAATCTAAACACTGAGACCCTGGGGTTCTCAGGATCTGCTGGGGACTACACACTTGGCTTCTTTTGTCGAACATCAGAAACTCCTCCTAGAAAATCTTTGAGCAAGCCCTTATCAAACTGATCTTTGATTGTGTGACAGTCTTGTGGAGGAGAAAAAAGGCAGGCAGGGGGTGGGGTGGGAATCAAATTACATGTGTGCTGTTTCCTCTGAATTTCAATCAGTTGTTTGCAGAATAGGAGGAAACTTGGCCAAGTTTGTTTTAAAGTCAGATTGTAATCTCATAGAATTCACAGGGCACAAATCAAATCCTAGCAGGTACATTTTTAGTTTTAGCAATTTGGGCTTTATTTCCATCTCATTGTTTTTTCTAGTACTATTCAGATAATAAAAATATAATTGTAGTGTGGTTATTAGATGTAGTCAAGCTGGTACCAGCCTCATACCGGCCTTATGCAAAATGAAACACTGCCCAGTCCTTTGTGTCATCCTTACAGTCCTTGCTACGCTTGAGCCCATTGCTGATGCTACTGTGCCAGTCCCTCTTGTTGGGGGGTCTTCTTCTTTTTCACTGACCCTCTACTTTACCAAGTATGATGTCCTTCTCTAGGGACTGGTCTTGCCTAATAATATGTCTGAAGTATAAGAGATGAAGTTTGGCCATCATGGTTTCCAAGGAACATCCTGGCTGCACTTCTTCCAACACAGATTTGTTTGTTCTTTTGGCAATCTATGGTATTTTTAATATTCTCTTTCAACACCATAACTTAAATTCATCAATAATTCTACTGTTGTCTTCTTTATTCACTGGCCAACTTCCACATGCATATGAGGGTATTGAAAATACCATGGCTTGGATCAGGTGGCACCTTTGTCCACAGCAGCTAAATCATTTTACATTCCCACCAACAGTGGACATCAGTTCCAATTTTTCTGCATTGCTGTTTACATTTATTGTTTTCCACTTGAAAAAACTCTAGCCAATCAATGTCACTAAGTTGAGTATATAGAAACTGTTGGACTGGTGTGTTTTGCTGTGTGTGTTCTCAATAACAAAATAGATAAATTTAGGGAGGAAAAAAATCCCTAAACATTCCAGTGAGTGTGAAAGCTGTCTTATTAAGGCTGTAATTTGCATTTCTCTCTGGAGCCGCAGCGGCATAGTGGGTTAAGCATTGGGCTGTTAACTGGTCTTTCGTTCAAACTCATCAACTGCTCCAAAGAAGATGAGGCTGTCTGCTTCTATAAAAAATCGATGAAGCATTTCTACTCTGGCCTATGTTGTTGGTGTTAAGTGCCATCAAGTGGGTTCCAACCCACACCGACCCTGTATAGGATTTCTGAGGAGTGGCTAGTGAGTTTGAAACACCAATCTGGAGGTTCAAACCAACCTTGCAGTCCAGCACATTAGCCTACAGCGCCACACCAGGACTCCACTCTGTCCTATGTTGTTGTTGTTAAGTGCCGTCAAGTCAATTCGGACTCATTGTGACTTTGTATAGGGTTTCTGAGGAGCAGCTAGTGAACTTGAACCACCAACCTCGCAATTCAAACCGACCTTGCAGTCTAGTGCATTAGCCCACAATTCAAAACCAATTCAACAGCAGTGGGTTTGGTTTTTGGTTTTTTTTTTTTCAGTGACTAATGATGTTGAGATCTTTTCATGTGCTTATTGGCCGTTACAATATCTTCTTTGAAGAAATACTTTTTTAGCTACTCGGTGTAAGCCTTGACGGAAAGTGGTTTCATCTCAGCTGCACTGCTGAGACCTCCGCCCAGGATGGCTCCCCCTCCCTGGGCCTCTCCCCTCTTGACCATGAGCCCCTTCGCCTCTTAGGCCTCTCAGACCTGATACCGTGAGGTGCGAGCAGGCCCCAGGAGGGTAGTTACTGCTGAGGAGCTGCGATCACGATCACAGTAAGATGATAGAGGTACCGACAATGGTGTAGCTCAGAAACCACTACACCAACTGAATGCCTTGCTGGATGGAACAGGAGTCTAGATGTCAGCCTAAGGTCTTCGGCTTGAGACTAATTGAGTGTGCTCATGATAATGGCCTCAGAATGACTGCAAGGTTAAGAGACTTTGAAGTAAAAGATCTTCTTAATCTAACTCAGTTCTTGGCTTTGACACAGAAACATCTTCTCTAGCTGTGAATTTACTGGACAGGTTTCTGTCCAAAATGAAGTTACAGTCCAACCAAGCACCTTGTATGTGTAGGACTGAGCTGCTTCTACTTGGCTGTAAAATCAATAGAAGAAGAGAGGAATGTCCTTGATCTGAATAAGCCAGTATAAATGACTTGATCTGAATAAGCCAGTATAAATTCACGGTTTCTGACTTGATGAGAATGGAAAAGATTGTATTGGAGACGGTGTGTTGGAAAGTTAAAGCTACTACTGCCTTTCAGTTTCTGCAACTCTGTTATTCACTCATTCAAGAGAGCTTACCAT